AAAAAAAAAAAAAAAAAAAGAGAAAGAAAGGAAGAAATGAATTTTCCCCTAAAGATTTTCAAAGGAAAGCAGCCCTACTAACCCACTTTAGAATTTGGACCTCTAGAACCATGACAGACTAAATTTGCATTGTTTTAAGCTTCTCAGTTTGCTGTCATCCGTTACAATAGCAATAAGAAACTAATACAGGCAGTTATTATTATTTCACTTACATCACATCATTTAACCCCTTCAGTATCACTTGCCACATTATTGTTATTATTATTATTTTTTAAGAGACAGGGCCTTGCTTTGTCACCTAGGCTAGAGTGTTGTGGCACAATCATAGCCTCAGCAGCCTCCAACTCCTGGGCTCAAACGATCCTCCTGCCTCAGCCTTCCAAGCAGCTAGGACTACAGGTGCATACACCTGGCTAATTTTTTTTTTTTTTGAGACAGCGTCTCACTCTGTCCCCAGGTTGGAGTGCAGTGGCATGATGTCGGCTCACTGCAACCTCCATCTCCAGGGTTCAAGTGATTCTCCTGCCTCAGTCTCCTGAGTTACTGGGACCACAGGCACCCGCCACCACACCTGGCTAATTTTTGTATTTTTAGTAGAGACAGGGTTTCACCATATTGGCCAGGATGGTTTCAATCTCTTGACCTCGTGATCCACCTGGCTTGGCCTCCCAAAGTGCTGGGATTACAGGTGTGAGCCACTGCACCTGGCTGTACACCTGGCTAATCTTAAAAGTTTCTGTAGAATGAGGTCTCACTATGTTGTGCAGGCTGGTCTTGAACTCCTGGCTTCACATGATCCTCCTGCCTTGGCTTCTTAAAGTGCTGGGATTATAGGCGTGAGTCACCATGACTGGCCCACATTATTATTATTTTTTGCCCAAAAGCAGAATGATTTGGAGATCAGCGAAGAGGGCTGTTTAGCATTCTTTGCCTCAATTTCCTCCTCTGTAAAATGGGGCTGATAGTAAGACCTACTTCCTAGATTTGGGTGATTTTTTTCAAGGAGGCAGTTTACACAAAGTGCTGGAACAGTGTTGGCATATGTAGGCATCATGTCAATGTTGATTTTTTTTTTTTTTTTGGATGGAGTCTTGCTGTGTCACCCAGGCTGGAGTGCAGTGGCACGATCATAGCTCACTGCAGCCTTAACCTCCCGGGCTCAAGTAATCCTCCTACCTCAGCCTCCCATGTTGCTGGGACGACAGGTGCATGCCACTGTGCCCAGCTAATTTTTAAGTTTTTATAGAGACCAGGGTCTCACTTTGTTGCCCAGGCTGCTCTCAAACTCCTGGGCTCAAGCAATCCTCCTGCCTTGGCCTCCCAAAGTGTTGGGATTACAGGCGTGAGCCACCATACCTGGCCTGAATATTTTTATTAACTTTTTTTTTTCCCATGGGTAAGCAGTTTTAACCTGGATATAAATATTCCAGCTCTGCCACTTCTTGGGCATGTGATATAACCTTTCTGGGGCTCAGTTCCCTCCCCTGTAACAACACCCACTTCCTAGGATTACTGGAGGGTGAAACGGGTTCACACATGTTAAGACTTTAGCATAATGCCTGGTATCCAGTAAGTGCTCAATAAATGGGCATTCGGGTGTGGACTGGACTTGGGTGTCAGACATAAATTTAAGTCCTAGCTCCTCCACTTTCTAGCTCTGTTGCTTCAAGCTAGTTGCTTAATCTCTCTGTCTCCATTTCCTCCTCTGCAAAATGGATTGTTCTGAGGCTTAGGGGCTTATGTGTGAAAATGTGCTTAGCACAGATCCACACGCAGGGTGTGTTCCCAAGAACGTCATCATCATCATCCACCACAGTTATAGCAGCTGGGCTCAGAATACCACAGAGAGGGCAGGGCGCGGTGGCTCACGTCTGTAATCCTAACGCTTTGGGAGGCCGAGGCAGGTGGATCACCTGAGGTCAGGAGTTCAAGACGAGGCTGGCCAACATGGCAAAACTCCCATCTCTACTAAAAATACAAAAATTAGCCAGGTGTGTTGGCAGGCACCTGAAATCCCAGCTGCTTGGGAGTCCGAGGCAAGAGAATCTCTTGAACCTGGGAGGCAGGGGTTGCAATGAGCTGAGATCACACCACTGCACTCCAGCCTGTGCAACAGAGTGAAACTCCATCTCAAAAAAAAAAAAAAAAAAAAAGAGAATGGATGTGAATTATGAAGATGGACTGGATTCAAAGGCCTGGCCAGGCATGGTGGTGCACGCCTGTAGTTCCAGCACTTTGGGAGGCTGAGGCAAGAGGATCATTTGACCACAGGAGTTTGAGACTGGCCTGGGCAACATAGTGAGACCCTGTCTCTACAAAAAATTTTAAAATAAGCTGGGTGTGGTGGAGCACACCTGAAGTACCAGCTATTTGAGAGGTTGAAGTGGGAGGATGGTTTGAGCCCAGGAGGTCAAGGCTGCAGTGAGCCAAGATTGTGCCACTGCACTCCAGCCTATTTGAAAGAAAAAAAAAAAAAAAAAAAAAATTCCCGACCTTCAGTTTTCCGCAGCTCTGCCAGCAGGAAGCTGCCCTCCTCTAGGATCCGCTCCTCGATGCTTCTCTTCCCCATCCCGAAATTCCGTAGAATCTGGATAGAGAACCGTCTCACAGGACCTTCCATCGATCCCCATTGGAGAAGACGATGCCTGGGGAGAAGAGGAGGGGGCCAGCTTAACCGGGAACTCATCCTGAGGCCACTGCCATCCAGGTCCCCTCTCCTGGTATTTGCTGGGAGAGGGACAGAGTTTGGAATCTCCCTGGCTTCTTCCAGTAAGCCCTCCTGGACCCCCCAAGTTAGGGGTCTCCTTCAAGCTTCCATAGGACCGTGGGCTTCCCTCACCACAGTCCTGTCACTCTGCCTCTGTTTCCCCATTAAGAACCTGATCACTCTGGGCTGTTACTGTCTGGTGATGGGACTGTCTCCTTCACAGAACTGTGAAGGCAGAGTGGGTGCCAGTCATGGTCACCACTGCATCCTTAGCATTGTCCATTGCAGAGGGTGTCACACAGGAGGTGCTGATGATTGCTTATTGATTATTATTATTATTTTTGGGACAGAGTCTCGCTCTGTCACCCAGGTTGGAGTGCAGTGACACCATCTCGGCTCACTACACTCTCTGCCTCCTGGGGTTGAGTGGTTCTCCTGCCTCAGCCTTCTGACTAGCTGGGATTACAGGTGTACACAACCATGCCCACCTTATATATGTGTGTGTGTGTGTGTGTGTGTATACACATATACACACACATATATATACACACACATATACACACATATATACACACACACACACACACACACACATAGAGAGAGAGAGAGAGAGATGGAGTCTCGCTGTGTTGCCAGGCTGGAGTGCAGTGGTACAATCTCAGCTCACTGCAACCTCCACCTCACGGGTTCAAGCCGTTCTCCTGCCTCCTACCCAATGCTGCCTCCTGAGTAGCTGGGATTACAGCCATGCACCACCACGCCCAGCTAATTTTGGTATTTTTAGAAGAGATGTGGTTTCACCATGTTGACCAGGATGATCTCGATCTCCTGACCTTGTGATCCACCTGCCTTGGCCTCCCAAACTGCTGGGATTACAGGCGTGAACCATCGCACTTGGCCTAATTTTTGTATTTTTAATAGAGATGAGGTTTCACCATGTTGGCCAGGGTGGTACCGAACTCCTGGCCTCAGGTGGTCCATTCACCTCGGCCTCCCAAAGTGCTGGGATTACAGGTGTGAACCGCTGTGCCCGGCCTGCTTGTTGATTGTTAAATGCACGAATAAGAGAGATAGGCAAGAAAAATAAGCACCAGGACACTGGGAATTGATCCAGGAACAAAACAGACCCCATCTCTTCTCTCCCTGGACCCACAATTTTTGCACAGGCTGGTCCTTCCCACAGCACTTTCACGCCCTGCATTCTCCTGAATACTCATCTTCATTCCTTAGGTTTCAGCTTAGAGGTCCCCTCTTCCAGGAAGCCTTCTCTGGCTCCTCCTCCCTTCTAGGCTGGGCCAAGTGCTTCCTTAGGGTTTCCATGGCTCCCCAGGCTTCCCCCATCCCAGCCTGGACCACTCTGGGATGGACAATCTGGTTGGTGATGCCTGTGTCTTCCACTGGCCTGGGACCTCTATAGGATAAAGTCTCAGATGTGTTTATCTCTGGTTCCTCTGGACCTAGCAGAGAACTAGATACTAAAGAAGAGAAAAAAGGTTATCGTGTATTGCCTGAATTTTTATGCATTATCTCATTGACTCCTTGTAACATGGAGTCAATGCTATTATAATTTTCTCATGGTAGCTGACCGAGGGGCAGAGAAGGGAGGCCTCTGGCCCAAGGGTACACAGCCAGTGAGTGGCAGAACCCTGCTGTTACCCTCTGTGCTGTGTATTGAATAACTAGGTGGTGGCTATTTTTGGTAACAAACGATGTACCCTTCCAGATGTTTTCTGTGCAAAAGTAGCAAGGTGACTTTCTCAAGCACCCTGTCTCTACCTGCTTGCATCTGGTGCACCTGGACAGGTAAGGTCATCAGATGAAGCCAGGGAAGGGAGCATGAAGTATGGAACGTGTACCTAATTCCATGAAGTATGGAACGTGTGCCAGAGCTCTCTGATTTCAAATCCTGGGGCAACTGGGACCCATCTAATGCAGGAGCCAGGGAGAGCCCTAGGCATTCTTTGGAGGTGAGGAGAGAATAGTCCAGGATGCAGGTCTCCAGGATCCCCTTTCCAATCATGATGGCTTCCTTCTCTCCCCCTCCCTCCCTCCCTCCCTCCGTTCCCTCCTTCCCTCCCTCCCCTCTCCCTTCCCTCCTTCCCTCCCTCCCTTCTCCCTTCCCTCCTTCCCTCCCTCTCTCTCTCCCTTCCCTCCTTCCCTCCCTTCCTTCCTCCCTCTCCCTCCCTCCCCTCCCTCTCTCCCTTCCTCCTTCCCTCACCTCCCTCCCTCCCTCTCTCCCTCTCCCCCTCCACCCCTCCATCCTTCTCTCCTTCTCTCCATCCCGTCCCTTCCTCCCTCTCTCCCTCCCTTCCCTCCTTCTCTCCCTCCCCTCCTTCCCTCCTTCTCTCCCTCCCCTCCTTCCCTCCCTCTCTCCCTCCCCTCCCTCCTTCCTTCTTTCCTTTTTCCTTTCTTCCTCCTTCCTTCTGTTGGTCCCTCCTTCCTTCCATCATTTATTAGGTCTTGTCACATAGCTTCCTTTGAACAGAGATTTGTGTTTAAAATAAAGTTTGGGGCTGGGCACAGTGGCTCACGCCTATAATCCCAGCACTTTGGGAGGCTGAGGAGGGCAGATCACAAGGTCAGGAGTTCAAGACCAGCCTGGCCAACATGGTGAACCCAGGCTCTACTAAAAATACAAAAATTAGCCAGGCATAGTGGTGCACACCTGTAATCCCAGCTACTCAGGAGGCTGAGGCAGGAGAATATTTGAACCCGGGAAGCAGAGGTTGCAGTGAGCGAAGATCACGCCACTGCACTCCAGCCTGGGCAACAGAACGAGACTCCGTCTCAAAAATAACTAAATAAATAAATTAACTTTGAAGACCACAAGACTAGGGTGATTTCCAAGCCTTAGAAGGACAGGATATTGACCTAGATGAGGTTTTGAGTGAATGATACGAATCGCTGGATGGCTGAGGATGGAGTTGAGTTTGGGTTAGGTTGGGAATGACAGTTGGGCATGAAGGGGGTTATGAGATTGATGATAAATTGGATTTGAAGCTGGTGATGGGGATGGAGTTGGCTAGGATGAGGAGGATTGATAGATTGGGACTGAACTTGAGCTTGGGGTTGGGTAGATATGTGATGAGTTTGTTTTGGTGATGGTAGTGAGTTTAAGATTGAAAGTGAGAACTGGGAACTGGAAATTTCAATAGGCAATTGGATTAGGAGATGGGACTGAGGTTGGGGAAAAGTAGCAGTAGAATTCAGTTTGGGCCAGGAGCAGTGGCTCAGGCCTGTAATCCCAACAATTTGGGAGGCCGAGGTAGGTGGATCACCTGAGGTTAGGAGTTCGAGACCAGCCTGGCCAACATGGCAAAACCCCATCTCTACTAAAAACACAAAAAATTAGCCAGGTGTGGTGGTGTGCACCTGTAGTCCCAGCTACTTAGGAGGTTGAGGCAGGAGAATCACATGAGCCTGGGAGGCAGAGGTTGCAGTGAGCTGAAATTGCGCCACTTCACTCCAACCTGGGTGACAGAGCAAGCCTCGTCTCAGATAAAAAAAAATATATATTCAGTTTGACCAAAGGGACTAGGATGGGGTTGATAATAGAAATTAAAGTGGGGACTGGGATAGGGTTCATAATGGGAATGAAGGTTGGATTGAGATGCTATCAGTGTTATGAATAGGGATGAAGGTGGGGTTGATGTGGTGAACATGGGGGAAAGGTTGATGGGAACTGGGATTGGGTTGAGGTAGTCAGTGGGAACCGGGGCCACTTGATTGAGTTGCAAAGTTGATGATGTGGTTGGGATAGAGCTAGGGGTTGGGATGACAATGGGGTTGGGGTTGGATGGAGATGGGGAGCGGTACAAGAGTGGAATTCAGGACAGTGGTGGGATCTGGAGGTGGGGAAGGTGGGACGGACTTCACTGTAGACCAACACTACCTCACTGCATTGCATTGGGTGTCATTAGTGATGCCAGCAGCCCTGAGTGCCAAGATTGAGATGACAGTCTCCACCCTCACCCCCTCCCTCAATATGGAAAAGGCCCAGAGCAGAGGAGACAAGGATGAGGCTTACCATTGCCCTTGGTAAAGTTGAGAAAGACAGGGTAGTCACCGCGGCCACTAAACTCCTCTCCCTGGTCCACCAGGGCCTCCTTCACGGCTTGGTACCCGCTGAGGACCACCACCCGCCTGGGCCCCAGGTGCACTGTGTACACAGAGCCATACTCCTTGCTCAGCTAGGGATAAGAAGACAGAAGTTACAGGGGTTCCTGTGGCCATGGGCCCCCTCCTCCTGATCCTTCTACTGTCACCCAAGCTAAGGGCCTTGCACCTGAGTGAGAGAAGTCAGCATGTTTTGGGAGCGAAGCAGCAGCAGGTTTCCCAGGAGTGGGAGGGGTCTAGGTCCTGGAGGCAGCTTTCGCTTATCTCTTGAGCTTAGGGTCAGGAGCAGACAGACGAGAGCCAGGAGCAGGAGTAAGATGGCTGTGCTTATGCTGTCCATGGTGAAGGCAGCTGCTGGCGTCTGGAGGGCAAAGTGGGAGAGGACATCGCTGAGAAGAGGGTGGGATCTCCCCTTTCCTGATCTCCCCTGAGACTTGCCTTTCCTAGGCCCTGGAAATGAAGGCACATGGAGAGAAGGAGACCGGGAGAGGTCAGGGGTTGGGGAAGGGAGGGAGAAAGGAGGAAAGAGGCAGAGATAGTCAACATACAGACAGATAATGAGACAGAAACACAGAGACAGAAATGGAGAGAGACAAGGGATAGAGGAACAGAGACTAAGAGAGGTTGAGAGATACGCATAAAGATAATGAGAGAGACAGAAAACCAGTGAGCGATCTACATATGTACAGATGTCTGTCTACCTATCGGCCATCTATCATCTATCACTCATCTGCTTGTTTGTTTGTTTGTTTCTTGCTTGCTTGTTTTTTTCTTCTTTCTTTCTCTGTTTCTTTCTTCTCTTTCTTTTCTTTCTCTTTTCTTTCTTTCTTTCATCTATTATCTATCATCTATCCATCATCTATCTATCATCTATCTATCGTCTATCTATTCTTCTATCATCTGTTATCATTGATCTACTATCTATCTATCATCTATTATCTATCTATATCAACTATCTGCTATCTGTGTATCATAATCTATTATCTATGTATCATCTATCTATTATCTATCTATCTATCGATCAATCTATCATCACCTGTCTGTCAAGAGACTGATTCTCATACAGAGACAGTGATAAAGAGAGATCAAGACATACAGGGACAGAGACAGACAAACACAGAGATAGGGAGAGCTAGAGAGCATGTCACAGAAAGAGAGAGGCTGACATAGACCAGAGGAAGAAAGAGAGAACTAGACAGACACAGAGCTAGGGAAAGACAAGAGAGATTGAATGGAGAGACAGCGAGATGGACACTGACTGAGAGACAGAGGTGGACATGGAAGGATGGAGAGAAAAAGGGTGAGAGAGACAGAGAGAGGAAGAGACAGAGCTAGACACAGAGACTGAGGGCAAGAGAATGACAGACAGAAACAGATACACAAAGACAGAGTCACATAGAGATGGAGAAAGACAGAGACAGAGAGAGAGAGAGAGAGAGGGATTGAGAGAGAGAGAATAAGAGAGACAGGAAATGTTAGAGCCACACAAAGACATGGGTAGGCTGCAAAGGGCAGATCAAAAGGGACTGAGACCGGTTGCGGTGGCTCGTGCCTGTAATCCTCGCATTTGGGAGGCCGAGGCAGGCGGATCACCTGAGGTCAGGAGCTTGAGACCAGCCTGGCCAACATGGTGAAACCCTGTCTCTACTAAAAACACAAAAATTAGTCAGGTGTGGTGGCGGGTGCCTGTAATCCCAACTACTCAGGAGGCTGAAGCAGGAGAATGCCTCAAACAAAAAAAAAAAAAAAGAAGAGAGAGAGAGAAAGAGAGAGAGACTGAAACAGAGAGGACGGGCACAGGCAGAAACAGTGGCAGGAAAGAATCAAGTGTTGCCAACCATGGGGTCGCACTGCAGAGAGAGAGATCACCTGCTGGGTGAAACGCCAGTACAGAATCCTGGTGCTCAGAACAGGGATGCGAGAGCTCTCAGAGGAGACAGCAAAGAAGATTCCTAGCCAGTCTCAGAGACAGAGATTGGAGCTGGCGACCCAGCCTCTCTTGGGAGCCACCCCCTCCTCCTCTGCATCCCTCACCGGGGCCCTTTACCTGCTGAGCTGCAGGAGACACTGGCCAGGCCGCTCCAGACACGTACTCTGCAGCTCTGGGTGTGCCCGGGTGGGCAGAGGTTGTTCTTGTTTCTGCCCACACCCTCCTCCTTAACCCCCCTTTTCTTGTTCTCACAGGGAACTTTAATTCCCTCCCACCATCCTGCCATACCTTTCCTGTGGCCCCAGGGCTCACCGCAAACTGGAAAGGTGCCGTGGGAGGGGGCCACACCTGGTGGGCCCTCCTGGGATGGGGCAAAGCTTTCTTCTTTCTTTTTTTTTTTTTTTTTTGCCATTCAGGCCCTGGGCCTGGTTTTGGGGTAGAGGGAATGGGGTAGTTGTGGGGCTGTGGCAAAATGATGGGCCAGGGATGGGGGCTGGGTCCCTTTTGTATTTGGGGCACTTGGTTCTCTTTCTCTGGGTTCAAGTAAAGTTCTGCCACTGATGGGCCGAGTGGCCCTGGCTATGTCCGTTTCTCTCCAGAGCATAGCTCTTCTTGTCGTTCCCTGTCTCTTGCCATGGGTCTTTGAAATGCTATGTCTTGCTTTACTTCTGCCTCTACAGTCTCTGCTTCCCAATCTTTTTGTGTCTCTGTGTCTCTATTTGTCTCTCCCTCGGTGTTTCTGGGTCTTCATTTCTTTTTTTTTTTCATTATACTTTAAGTTCTAGGGTACACGTGCACAACGTGCAGGTTTGTTACATATGTATACGTGTGCCATGTTGGTGTGCTGCACCCATCAACTCATCAGCACCCATCAACTTGTCATTTACATCAGGTATAACTCCCAATACCATCCCTCCCCCCTCCCCCCTCCCCACAATAGGCCCCGGTGCGTGATGTTCCCCTTCCCATGTCCAAGTGATCTCATTATTCAATTCTGGGTCTTCATTTCTTCCGCTCTCTGGGCTTTCTCCTTCTCTCTGCGTCTCTCCCTGATCTCCCTGTGAGTCCTTCTCAGTCACTCTCTCCTGATCTGTCCGGTCTCTCACTCTCTCTGTCTCTCATGTCTCCACGAGTCACACTGCCCTTGGTGGGACTGAAGCCAGGCTGAGGTTGAAGGAGTGTTTAGGAGAAGGACAGAGCTGGAAGTCACAGGGAAACAGGCTCTCAGACTAGAATAACAGTCTCTCGCACCACTGGCTCATAAACAGCCTTCCTGCTGCCCTCCCGAACACCCCACCAGCCATGTCTACTCTTGGCTCCTGCCTTAGAAACTTGCCCTAGTAGGCTGGGCAGGGTGGCTCGTGCCTGTAATCCCAGCATTTTGGGAGGCCGAGGTGGGTGGATCTCCTGAAGTCAGGAGTTCGAGACCCGCCTGGCCAACACGGAGAAACTTCGTCTCTACTAATAATACAAAAATTTAGCTGGGCATGGTGGCTCCCACCTGTAGTCCAAGCTACTTGGGAGGCTGGGGCAGGAGAATCGCTTGAACCCAGGAGGTGGAGGTTGCACTGAGCCAAGATCACACCACTGCACTCCAGCCTGGGCAACACAGTCTCAAAAACAAACAAACAAAAACTGGCCCTAGTTACCCACCTCCTGGCCAGGTCACAAGGGGAGATTGCAAAACCTGGAGCTGGGCCAGGGCTCTGGTGCCAGGGACTGGGCTGGGTGGAAAGCCCCTGAGGTCAAAGGTCTGGGAGGCCAGGTGGAGGTAAACTACCCACACAGGTTCGTGGGTGTGCACCAGGATTGCTGTTCTCAGAGGGGCAGAGGAGGAAGTGTCTGAAGGTCCTGGGGAATTTGACACCCTAGGTCCCAGGCGTATGGTGGGATGGAGGTGGGACCCATGCTGTTGTTTCAGTCCTGGGAAGGCAGGTTGGGGCAGGTCCTGGAAGAGGGCTGAAGGCTTGATGATGGGATTATATAGCTCTAGTTTCCCTTGGCATCTGCTCCCTACCTTTAAGGGGAGGGTGCAGTGCTGGATGCATGCCAACCCTGTAAGCAGCTTATCCCTCACCTTAGAACTTGGTTAAGAGGGGCTTAATGAGGCCGGGCGCGGTAGCTCATACTTGTAATCCCAGCACTTTGGGAGGCCGAGGTGGGTGGATCACCTGAGGTCAGGAGTTTGAGACAGCCTGACCAACATGGCAAAACGCTGTCTCTACTAAAAATACAAAAAAAAAAAAAAAAAAAAAAAAAAGTTAGCCAGGCATAGTGGTGCATGCCTATAATCCCAGCTACTCAGGAGGCTGAGGCAGGAGAATCGCTTGAACCCGGGAGGCAGAGGTTGCAGTGAGGCGAGATTGCACCATTACACTCCAGCCTGAGCAACAAGAGTGAAACTCTGACTCAAAGAAAGAAAGAAAGAAAGAAAGAAAAAAAAAAAGATTGGTCTAATGAGACCACCTGATTGGGGAAACTGGGATTTATGAGAAGGGCAGTTAGTTAGTTCGTTTTGACACAGAGTCTCACTCTGTCACCCAGACTGGAGTGTAGTGGTGTGATCATAGCTCATTGCAGCCTCGATCTCCTGGGCCCCAGGGATTCTCCTGCTTCAGCCTCCCAAGTAGCTGGGACTACAGGCGTGTATCACCACACCTGGCTAATTTTTAAAATTTTTAGTAGAGATGAGATCTTGCTATGTCACCCAGGCTGGTCCCCAACTCCTGGGCTCAAGCGATCCTCCCACCTGGGCCCCTGGGGATTACGGGTGTGAGCCACCATGTGTGGCCAAGAAGGGGAGTTTTAAGAGGCTTTGAGTTCTGTTGGTCTGACGTGCTGTCCTGCTACAGAGGGAACTTGGGGCAAGGAAGGGATGTATTACAGTTTCTCAGCTCACCGCTGTTGATGTCTTGGGCCTTCGTGGGGTGGTGGGGGCCGTGTCCTGTGTATGGTAGGATGTTTAGTGGCGCCCTTGGTTTCTACTCAGTAGATGACAGAACCCACTCACTCCCTACCAGTTGTTACAAACAAACACAACTCCAGATATTATTGAATGTCCCCTTGGGAGGAAAAAAATCAACCCAGTTGAGAACCACTGGCATATTGCAGAAAACCGAAACACACTCCATGGTGGAAGAATGGCTCGCCTTTCGTTGTCCTCTCTTGGGACTCCTCCCTCGCCCTATTCCTATCCTTTTCTTCCTGCCTCCTCAAACTCCAAAACGCTCTTCACTCACCTCACTCTGTGTTGATGATCCCGCTTCTTATCTCATGGACAGAACGGCAGCAATGGGCAGTGAGCGGGAGCATCCTCCACCATCCTGTCCTCCTGCCCACTGGCGTCTGGACGGCACGTGCAGCCTTCCTTCCTGCTAGAACCATACACTGTCCCATGTCAGGCTTAGGTGAGCCCCCCTTGCTGTGCCAGATCCCATTCCATCGCCAACTGGAGGACTTGATTCTCTTTACTGGGTCATAGCTCATGTGAATGAGTGTAGGTGGAGTTTTCCCTTAACAATTCCTTTAGGTAAAATTTACATGTGATGAAATACACACATTGTAAGCGAACATTTGCTGAATTTTGAATGCATCCAAATCCCTATGAAGATACAGAATATTTTTATCATCCCAGAAAGTTCTCTTGGAGCTGGGCCTGGTGGTTTGTGCCTGTAATCCTAACTAGAGGAGGATGAGGTGGGAGGATCACTTGAGGCCAGAAAACTGAGACCAGGCTGCGCAACATTGCCAGACCCCCGTCTCTATTAAAAAAAGAAAAAAACAATAGCTAAGTGTGGTGGTGCACACCTGTGATCTCAACTACTTGAGAGGCTGAGGTGGAAGATCACTTGCGCCCAGGAGTTCCAGGTTACAGTGAGCTATGACCACACCACTGCACTCCAGCCTGGGTGACAAAGAGAGACCCTTCTCTAAAATAATAATAATAGTAATAATAATAATAATAATGAGAACACTCTTTCATACTCCTTCCTAGTCAACCATGCTCCATCTCTTGTGGGCAACCGCTGTTCTAGTTTTTTTTCTCTTCTTTTGAGACAGGGTCTTGCTCTGTCTCCCAGGCTGGAGTGCAGTGGTGTGATCACTGTTCACTGCAACCTCGACCTCCCTGGCTCAAGCGATACTCCTGCCTCAGCCTCCCGAGTAGCTGGAAGTACAGGCATGTGCCATCACAACTGGCTAATTTTAAACAATTTTGTAGAGGCAGAGGTCTCCCTATGTTGCCCAAGCAGATCTTGAACTCCTGGGCTCAAGCAGTCCTTCCGCCTCAGCCTCCCGAAGTGCTGGGATTACAGGCTTGAGCCACTGCATCCAGCCCTGTTCTAGCTTTTTCTTCCCACTGTCGATCTACATTTCATATAAATGAAAATATATGGCTGGGCCTTTCTTCTGTATGCCAAGGCTGCTTCTGGGAAGCATATGTAATGCTTTTGAGAGTCAGCCATGTGTTACATACATCAGAAGCTCATTCCTTTTCATTGAGGAGTAGTATGTCACCTCATGTAGATGTGCCACAATTTGCTTTTCACCGGTTGATGGAAATGTGGATTGTTTCCAAGGTCTGGCTATTGTAAATAATAATATGTATTATTCTTGGTATATATGCATATGTCTTTGTGGGGATCTATGTTTCATCTATCTAGACATATCTGTGAATGTGACTGCTGGGTTCTATGATAAGTGTATATTTATAAGAAACTTTCAAACTCGTTTCCAAAGTGCCTGTGTCATGTTTTCACTCCCTGTGTGATTTGTTTTCTTCTCTCTATTGAATATTTTTCATAAAGATCCAATAAGCTGGCCGGGCATGGTGGCTCATGCCTGTAATCCCAGCATTTTGGGAGGCCGAGGTGGGCAGATCACTAGAGGTCAGGAGTTCGAGACCAGCCTGGCCAACATGGTGAAACCCCAACTCTACTACAAATACAAAAATAACTGGTCATGGTGTCCCGGGCCTGTAGTCCCAGGAGGCTGAGGCAGGAGAATTGCTTGAACCCAGGAGGCAGAGTTTGCAATGAGCTGAGATCACACCATTGCACTCCAGTCTGGGCGACAGAGCGAGACTCTGTCTCAAAAAAACAAAACAAAACAAGCAAAAAACCCCCCAATAAGCTGTATTTCTCCCATCTTAAAAAGATGGGAGAACATCTTTTTAAAG